CTTCTGGTCTGCATGTGACATTCTCAGCCCGTTCCATTAGAGATTCACCCTGTGGGACTTTTTCTCTTTCATGTTTGAGACAACCAACTCTGAACTCCTCTGAATGCTCACAGTCCTTGTTCGCTCTACAGTGGCTTCACATATCCCTTAGAGTTTGGCCTGTAATTTTCTTTTCAGTTGGGTCTTTTGTTTTGTAATTAGCATAATGCTGGCTTCCAGTAATGATGCCAGGAGTCCTTCCCCTTCAGTTTAATTAAAGGGTTTGAGGAGTAGTGGCATGGGTGTCCTCTGAAGTAGCATTCTTCCTTTGTGTTGGACTTTTGAGATTTAGACTACGATGTTTTATGGAGAATTTCTTTTCTGGTTGTGGTTATTTGACATGTTGTATGCCTCATTTTTCTATATTTTCAGTGCTTTATGTGGGAAGTTTCCTGTTACTATTTCTATGCATAGAATTTATATGCCATTTGTGTTGTCTCCTGATTTTTCTCCAATTCCATTTAATACTAAATTGACCTTCTCTCTGTCATCGAGCAGCTGCCGGATCCATTTTCCCTATTCTCACATTTTTAAAACACTTTTGAGTATCAGACCACCTGCCTCAGGCTTCTCTTAGTTTTAACACTCTGCTCGCACACTGGGCACATCTGATGTCTGTACGTTCAGTAGAATTTTTGTTTTCCAGATTTAAGATTGGTACATTTTCATGGCCTCTCCTAATTCTCTGGAGTGGTGATTAATGCTGTGTATTATTTTGTCTGGCTCAGCTAGTTTTTCAGTGTCTTCTGTATGATCAGTGCCCATTTTCTTTGTTTCCGTTATCTGTTTAATTATATCATCCTTGAGCTCTCCAAGTGCCTTATTGATATTATTTTGCCTCATATTTTATCATTTCATGTAATTCAGCTATTTGGCTATTGATTTCTTCCCTGTTGTTGTGCTGTGGATCAGCCCCGGGGAAATTAAAAGTTTTTGGAAGAATTTCTTGCCTTGTCTTTTTTTTTTTCCTGTGTGTGTGTGTGTGCGTGCGTGCGTGCGTGCGTGTGTGTGTGTGTGTGTGTGTGTGTGTGCTGACATTCACAGATTGAATGCAGTAGAAAGAATGTGTTGCTAATGTAGAGCTCTTTCATTAGTGTATATTTTTCATTGGTGCACTTTGAGCATTGCTAGCTCTCTGGCTTTGTCTGTCCTAAGATCCAAGCCTTTCTACTAGGTGGGATGGAAGGATGCAATATAACTGGCCAGATCCTACTTTCCCGGAAATGAATCACAGCATTACTGATAACACAAAAGACCAAACAGATACTGGCATACAGTAAAAACCAATTAATTGCAGCAACTATAGCACTTCTCTCAGAAGCAATGAGAATAGTGTCCAAGTCTGACTGGACACTGACATGCCATAATAACCAGCATAAACTATCATTATATCATCCTTAGTCATAAAAAGAGACATATAGTTATAATTTAGACACAAAGAGAAAGCAAAGACTGACATAAAATAAATATTCCTTAACTGTGACAACTATGCCACTATTAACAATAGAAAAATGTCAAACATACTACTGTTAAAAAATCTAAGGATTAATAATGCTATTTTAATAATGATAGAGAGGATATGGAAAGAGAGCATGAAAGAATATTTGAAAAATTAAAGATGAGGAGGAAAGAAAAGTGAGGTAAAGGATTGTATTAAAGTATAAAATAAAATCAATAGCATTAGATAAAAGTAACAGAGGGTAACCATGAAAACAAAGGGAAAAGAAAAAATCGGCAAAAGAAAAATAATTAGCCCCTTCCTCAAATGGTTCCTGGTTGTACCCTCCCAAATACGGTGGGCACTGCACTGTATTTTCTCTCTAACGCTAGGCCATCTGTGGAAGGAATCACTTGCAGAGTAAAACCCCGCTCTGATTTTATAGTTTGTAAGTCATGTGCTTTTTTGAGCTAGCACTGCTGGCCTTGTCCTGCCAAGCCTTCGGGGCTTTAGCTAGTGTTTGCTTTTTTTGTATCTGCCCCATGGCACCACCTTGTGCATTAGGGCCCCTCCCCCGAACCAGGGTGACTGCTTCATTCTTTGCTCTGCATCCTGCCCCATTTCTCCAGATTCTCAGTGGTTTCTGGTTTTCTGTTTGAGTCCTCTCAATTCCCAGACATCTACTTTTTTTTTTCCCCTTGCCTTTCACTAAGTCTCTGTTTTCCAGGAGCTTTAACTCCAGGGCCCAGAGAGGCTGAATTTGGCACAGTCTTCCCTCTCTCTAGAAATGTTAATGTCTCTCTAGAAGTTTGCTTTTGTTTGCTGTTTTGAGTTAGGATGCTACTCATGCCCAGAGTAGTCTAAAATGCACACAACTACTCCTTTTGTAGTTTTGGGTTTTCACAATCCTCAAGGACTGGGAATGGAGGAGCTGTGAATTGTGGGGCACCTTTTTAGTAGCAGGTTTTAGAGATGCTGAGACAGTCTGAGAAGATAGAATCCTGAACCTCACAAACCGTCCTCCCAATTCTGGCTCAGGACTTCCTTTTGTTTGTTGTAAGAGTCATGGCCCATGGAGTTTCCTTTCCACTGTTTTCCTCTTTCCTTCTCCTGCAGTCTTTTTAGTGACCCGTTACTTTAGTATTGTCTGGAGATAAAGTAGGTGAGTTACATACTCGCTAAGCCTGTGCTAATCTCAATATGCCTTACTAACTAGTGAATGCAATTTGTACATTTCTTTGGCTGGGTGTACATTTCTTTGGCTAATGACTTTGCCATGTTATTCATTTTATATATTAATCTGTCATTTTCTAGATTCTAGGTTTGTGGTTGAAATGTATTGGATGAAACTATGATTTTGTTGCTCTTGCTACTTACTGTTATGAATTGATGAGACTTTGTATACTTTGTTTGAAACTGTCATCACAATTTAACTGAACTTTCTCTAGAGTTCAGTAAACCGTTTTTATCCACAAACTTTTTTATTTCTGGTTCATCTGTTCTTTTTCTAAGTCTCAGGATTTTCCCCTTAGGCTCTTGGGTTTCTACATCCACTTCCTTATATTTTTTCTCTATAAATTGTATTTTCTCTCTCTGTTGTGTACTTTTATTCTACTTCACCTTCCAAACACCATTTTTTAAAAAATTACTAGAGTGATGTCCCTCGTTTCTCAATTCCCTGAGGACTTTTAAATATGAAAACAAGTCAGTTTATTTATAAGGCTTTTTTAAAAAGTCCTGCTATATTTCTCTGTTAAAGATATTTTGTTGTGTGAGTCCATTGATTCTCTCCTTAGCAGCCCAAAAAATAAATGCCCTTTCTCTGTCTCAGAGGGTATCTTCTTTTAAAGGTTATCAGTTATTAATGTTCAGCTATGTTATTTTAAGATATGTTATTCTGTTACATGATCAAAAGGTTTTTTTCCCTCCTCCAAGTCAAGTTGTTATACTTAAATGTGACCATCACTGGGGTGACAGGAATTCTAAATACTAGTGATGATGTAGTGACCAGAAAGTTTCTATTACATCTAAATCAGAGTCTTGAGAAACATCCCTAGACTCTCAGCTCGGGAGTGCCCTCATTCCTGAGTTCAGAGTACTCCAGTCTCAAGACAAGCAGAGACATCTATGCATGAGTTTCCCATCCTTCTGTGCCTCCAGGATTATGCCACTATGACTACACATGTTGACTTCTTATTCTAAGACTGCTTGTCAAGCAAGTGAGACCAAGTTTTTCTCCCTGCCTACTTCATTCCCAGCAAAACCTTCAGTGTGGTCTGGTGCCATGATGCATGCAGCTCTTGAGGTTTGCAGGGTTAAGGACTGCTAGAGGATGAGAAAATTAAGAAGAGACAAAAGTGGGGCCAGGTGGAGCCCTTATCCTCCCATGGGAGGAAAGGAACTGCTCAGCCACTGTAGCACATTTATTTATATACTCCTTACATCCCTGGAAACAAATGTCAGTTTTGCCTCCACTTCCTAGCAAGTTGTTTGCTTGGCTGGCCCAGGTCCCTTGCCTTCTTGGTGCTGGAACAGCTTGTTTACATAGCTTGTTTGGGGCTCTCTGTGTCTTCTGGGCTGGCCCTGCTTTGGCTCCACACATGTGATTAATCTCCAGCTTCAATGGCTCCCTACAGTCCAGGTCTCTCCACCAGGAGTCCTGCTTCTCAGTGCACTCTGAGTTGAACAACATGCTGCTCTTGCCTCCTGGAATGTGGCACAGCCTGAATATCCTCAGAAGGCCCCCAGGCTCTGCCTGTTGGTCCAGGTCCAGCACCAGTGTTTGCTTCTATTGTTGGATCAGATTTGGGGGAAAGGACATTGGAGGGATACTGTTCCGGCAGCCCGTGAATTCCTGCTTAGTACGAAGAAGGAGAACTTGTGAATTTAGAGCAAAAGGTCTATGATAAAGAAATAAAATGTCATTCAAGGTGGAAACGTGATAGATACCAGAAACATAAATCAATAAATTACCTAGAGGTTTGGAGTGAAGTTAGAGGGGTTAACTTGCTGAAAAGGCTAATGATAAAAACAGTGTAAGGCTCCTGAGCAAAGGTCTTGTGGCGGAGAGTCACAGGGAAGCCATGCGTAGAGCAGGGCCCCCAACCCTCGTAGTTTTGCACAGTAATGAGAGGGTAACAATGGGGAAAGGGAAGATACTCAGGGGGAAGCCTTCGGGCAGGACTCAGGCTCCGCTAATTCAGGGTTCAGTCAGCTCTTGTTACTCAATGGGTTTGAAACTTGGTGAATTTGATATTTATGGCATTTTAACCTGAAGATTTTGTCCTAATACTCAGCCTTTGTGTGGCTCTGGATGTGTGAGCTAGAACTTGTCGGGATGTGGTTTGCCTCGTGACTTCCTACCCTTTCTGGTCTAAAGAACTGGTTTCATACTCAGTGTTTTTGGTAATTATCACAACTCCTGGAACCAATGAATAAGACAAAGATATCACTTTAATGTGAAAAAGTAATGTAATATATAGAGAGACATATATAAAGATGTTTGTCTATACATAATTGTTATATACTTACTATATATATATACACACACACACAGTTTAGGATGCAAAGTTTTCATAATTTAATGTCTATTAATGGATCAATAATGGAAAGAGAGAAGACTCTAAATACATGATAAACATATCAAAATCTACATTTTCACTCTTGTCTCTCTTATGTGGATTACAAGTTCTCCGAAAGCAAAAATTACATTTTATCCACTCCTATATCTTTAGCACTTACTACTCAAAGTAGCATAATAGCTTCTCACGGTATGTGTGGGAGTCGTTTTAGACACAGAATCAACAGAAGGAGATTCATCACAGGGACACAGAATTTACAGTGTGACAGTAAAAAGTGACTAACACTGTTTAGGTTAAAAAAATAGGCATAATAACAAAGACTGTTACATAACTTATTACGTATGCCATATTGTGCTAAGGGCATATATATATAATGTTAGCTCTGTTAATACTTTAAAAATTTTTTTTTATTTTAAAAACTCAAAACAAAAAAGATGGGAATGATGCAGAATTTCAAAAAATAGTAGAAAAATAACACTAATTAGTATAATGTATGCAGAAGTAGTTGTTCAAGTTACAAGATTTAGGCATGAATAAAATGATCAGCCACACGATGAAGGCACAAACTGTTTTTTGGATGAACTAACAGAGATTAGATAGCTAAACTCTGTTAATCCTGACAGTCCCTCTATTATTCAGGCATGATTATGATCCCCATTGTACAAATAAGGAACATAAAGCAAAGCAAGTTTAAAAAATTTGCCTAGACCACAAAGCTCTTAAGTTCTTCACCAGTATCAGAGCACAGTTATCTGGTTACTACATAAAAGCCACACTTTTGGAACAAACTCTTAGAAGTTCACTCAGAAGAGCAGTCCTCTAGCACAGAAACATTTCCATGATACATGGAAATTCATGTGTTAGAAATAACATCAGTAGTCAAACATCTGAAAAATAAACAGATATACTTTTACTAAGCAAAAAAATAAGCAAAATGTGCATAGTACTTTTTTCCTTTTATAGCAATTGTAAAATTATTAAAATGAACCTATGTTTTTCATAATTCAGCAGATCAATTTCCCAGACATACAGAGCCATAAAATAACTTGATGGCAAGATTTACAATCTTTTTCATTGTACTTTTTTATTTTAAAAAAGCAAAATAGAAAAAAGGTTAGAAATGATATTGAATTTCAAAAAAATAGGAAATTAACACTAATACATTGCATGTTGTTAACTTAGAAGTAGTTGCTCAGGTTACAAGATTTAGGCATGATAAAAATGAGTAAACAATCAATGACAGCACAAACTGTTCTATTGGATGAACTAACAGAGATTAGTAGTATAGTTATGGAAGGAGGGAAAAGATTACATGTACATAGGTATTTACATATATATGTAATATTTATAATCTTGATAAGATTCATAAATCTAATACAAATATGCGTAAATTTCATTCCATATTTTTATTAATCCATTCATATGTGACTTTTGCAATCAATTTCAAGTAATTTTAAGATAGCATCTTATAAGATGGGCAGCACTTACTGACTCTTGCTTTAAGGTGGCTTCTTTACAGTTTATATAATTTTCTCCTATAATGACCTTTATTATCTTCATTATAAAATTAGGAGATCAAGTATAAGGGAGGATAATGGGGTTTCCTAAATTCAAAGTGCTGATGGGTTGTGTGAGTTGGAAAATAATAGAAAAGGAAATTGAGGTATACTGCATTTTAAAATTTGACCACAGTTCATACGGCTGACCATTAGGTGGAGATTAAAAAACTTATCTTTTGCTTCCTTGTGTTCATTCCATAACATAACATTGTTTTTGTTTTCCACAAAATAGAATCAGACCTAGTTTGAACATCACAAAATTATCAGTTGGTATCTTTTTCAGAATTTAAAGAAAGCTTTGGACATGTGAGTTATTAGCAATCCTTATCATCATTATTGCACTGATTATACACTGATGCTATATCATAAGATAAAATTTGTCTCAGAGATTATGAACTACCATTCCCATCATGTCCGTTATCATATACTAAAGCAGTTGTCTTCTACTTTATGGGCAGTTGGACAGTTCTACAAAAGTTTGGGAGAGGCATGTTGAGACCTAACCTGAAAGTTAAAAAGAACTAAGATAAAGTTATGGAGGACACCGAGAGAAAAAATATTCTGCAAAGAATGAAACAATAGAAGTTATTTAAACTCTATAGGGAAGAGATGACATGATAGTAAAAGAAGAAAGTTCACGATACAAAAAAAAATCAGAAATTGCATGATTCTCTTTTAAAGAAAAGAGGAATAAAATAATACACTGAGTTTGAGATTTTGAGGGTAATATTTTAGTTATAAAGAATGTTCGATTGAAGAGTCATTCTTAGAAGATTGTGTCCCCAGATTTCCTCTCCAAGGAATCAGTTAATTTTGTTTCATTTCTGCTCTTATAAATATTTTGACCCAAATGGCCTTGTCTATGATGGATTAGCACAGAGGAATAGGAAACTCACTTGAGTAGAAAAAAACATACAAAGTATTTTCCCAACCAATAGCAGAAGAGTACGTTGTTTTCACATATAAAAATCCATTTATAAGCTAGAAAGTGCTGGAAAAAATCTACTTTGCCAAAAGTGAATGAGCATGAGCTACAAAATCAATCAATACTTATTTTTTCTCATTACTCTATTAAGTAAAACTGATTAACTTTTGGGGGTACCACCATCTGTGAAACAAAGATACTACTGGTTTCATAACAGTTGTAATGGCATAATGTTTTATAAAAATCAGTGGAAATTTTGGTGTAAAATATATGCCTCTGAATGTGAACTACTACTATTAACTTGTATAATTTCTCAGAGGTTGAAATATATATATAGCTATGAAAAGCTTAAGACATAGCTATTATATACATAATATTTATAATAAATAGATTTTTTAAAAATCTACAATACTTTTCAAAATTTACAAATTCTCCCTAATAAATATTAGTGCAAGTATCTAAAATTTATGATTGTTATTAAATGACATGCGTTCCATTCTCAAAAATTAACACTGAACTTATTATTAAAATGAATCCTTCTAATTCTTTTTCAAACTGGGAGAAATAAAATCACAGATTTCAGAAATGGTGTTACAAAATGAACAAAATATAAAAGGAATAAAGAAAGAATATCCTATAAATATTAAAAAGTACAATTTATTAATACAAAATACATAAATCAGCATCAGAGTCCTTTAAATGGATAAACATAGATGCAAACTTTTGAACTGGATGATTAATTGCATCAGATTCAGAGAAAACACAAACAGTATTTCTTCATTTAATGAAAACTCAATAAAAAGTATATATATATATATATACATATACATATATGTATATATATGAAAGAGTTAAAATTACAACATTGATTTAAATATCCATATAGGAGTAGAAGAAATTTTCAGAGTATTATTTATATGGTAAGAAAATAAAAACCTAATAAAATTATTTGGATTCCTTCATCTGTACTGATAAAATCCCACAGACTTCACTCAAATATTTACTGAACTATTCCCATACATATATAATATTTTTGTCAATATATGTCCCTATATATTTACAAAAAAAATAAGATAATAAATTCACTGTCCTCAAAATGTCAATTTTTCTTAGGCCACAGTTCTATTTTCCTCCTTTGGACAGCCCAGGAAAACTAGCTTGAATACATTGCCTCCTGAGGAAATACTTGCATTTTAAAAGATGTTAATTTAATGTACAAGAGAAGAAAAATATTCCTGGGAAAGAGGATAAAGGAGTAGGATTTCTAACTCCTCAGCTGAAAAAAGGGATATCAGAAAATCATTTAGTTTCCTTAACACTACTAATTAAAGCCTTCATTTTAATCTTCATTGTAAATGGTGAGCCCTGATCCCTAAACTGTTTTTAAACAATTAATATTAAGCTACTTCAATGCTATCCCTGGCTCCCTTGAAAAGCAACAGCTGATTTCTCTTTATTTAGTATAATGGATCCATATTTCATCTTAAATCAAACCCTGTGAGCTTGTCTCTATTTTTTGCAAGATACAAATTGCAAGCTTATCTACATACATAATGCTATGACAGATAAGTCACAGCAGTAAAATAACAGTCTAGCAAGGCATGTTGCAGTGACTAATACAAGGGAGAGATGAATATACCATTTTAGAAAGCAAATTACTATACTTCCTAGGACAATCAAACCAGTGTATATAATAGCACATTCTACAGAAATCGTTTATAGAATCATAAATAAATGGTGCACAATTCCTGTAATTAATGATAGGCTCTTGAGGATGCCAAATCAACGCCCCTCTGAGTCTTACTTGTAGAAAGCAGTGGACATTTCAGTCATTTGCATGGTTTTATACATAAAACTAAAAAACACAGAGAGTTACACATACTGACTTCTGGAATATATGCTCGGTGATGTCTTTTCCATGTGAAAACTCCTCTGAGTTGTTCGATGAGATGGTATTGAGTATCTGTAACTACTGCTCTTTTCAGTGCAGCAAAATCCACAAGAGAACAGGGCCCCTGAAACAATCAGCACCAGCGCTGTGGTCCAGCCTAAGTAAAGGGCTTCTCCAAGCTCCCGTTTCAGACCAGGATCCACTACTGGGCTGTAGAAGTTTCGGATGATAGTGTTGGCAACCCAGGACACCGGAATGAGCACCACAATCCCTGTAATGATGAAGAGGATTCCGGCTGTCAGCAGGATGCGACTTTTCACATTTTCATCGTCCCCCGTCAGTTTGGTACACCTCATGCCAAGCGAGGCTATCATGAAAGCCAAGAAGGACAGCACAGAAGCAGCACACATCAGTCCTCTGGCTGCCTGTAGATCCGGGGACAGAGCGAGCAGAGAATCGTAGACTTTGCATTGCATTCTGATGTTAGCATGCCTTATGCAATTCATCCATAGTCCTTCCCAAATGTTCTCAAACACCACGATGTTGCTTTCGATGAAGGCTGACACTCTCCACTGAGGCATGATAGTGACGGCCACTGTGCCTATCATACCAATACCACTAAACACCAGACCAGCTATTTGCAGAGCATAGGACGCCATTCTCTTCTTGGGTGAGTTTTATGCAACTGGAATCCTGAGGTGGTGGTGCTGCTTGGAGGCAAATATCTTTGGGCTGCAGAGAGAACAGTTTTCCTTTAGTGGTAATGAATTAAAAACCCAGAGAGTCTACGAATAAAAGACTGTCGTGCTTTTACCTCATAAAACCCAGCATTGGCTGATGTGGTGGCCCCTCTTTTGACTCCAACAGGTAAACTTGCAAATCAAGTATGACAGCTTTCTTGGCCACGAAGAGGGGGAGGGTAAGTCAGGTGTGTCCAAACCAAAGAAAGACACACAAACATTCTTTGTACTTCTCAGTTTTCCAAGGAGACAGCAGTATGTTTACCTACAGCCGTAATTACGAGCGCTTGCACAACCACCATGAAATGAGCGCCAATCTCTGGCAGCCAGAAAGTGCACCTTATACAGGTAGTTCTAAATGCTTCATAAAAGCTGCTTTAGCGGAGGTATAAAATCAAATACCTGCCAGAGACTCTGCAAGGACTATTAAAATGCCAAAAGGAAAGAAGAGGAGGGGATTGACAGATTGTTCATACCTGGAAAACCACATTCTTTGGGACACATGTGATCCAAGGGGTTGATTTAATTTGTCCACAACTTCAAAGCAAGCTCTACTGGAGTGAGATCAGGCAACAGATTGTGCCAAGAACCAAAGCAAGCCTGAAGTAATTAAATACCTGAGGTTGTCTTCCTTCTTTGGCACAAAACACAGTTTTCTTCTAAGCCAAAAAAAATTACCTGTTGTTATTTTTCTGATAATCTTCATTTAAGAGAGAAAAAAATGCAAACATTAAAAAAAGGCCAGCTGATTTATTGAGGTAGCGAACGCCTCCACACAGAATGAGCTGGTTTATAGCTTGCTAGCCAGGTATTTACTTTGTGGCTCAGTCCTTGGTACTTTGTTTTCCTATCCTGAATGAACTAAAATTCTGCAAATGGTACAAAATTCTAGGTCTTAGCAAATGGCTTATGTTTCTAAACAGAATGCTCACAGGACAAGGCAGCCATGTTCATTGAACTTAGTTATATTAGGCAGCAAAGAAACTTGCTTATACTTCCTAATGCAGTATCCTCTGGAGAACCTAGAATCGCCTACTTGCAAGCTCATTTCAATGATATCTTCTCACAGTGATGAGCACAGTGATACTAAGATGAACACGAGCACAGTTTGGGGAAAACTCCCCCAGCACTTTTCTTCTGGAGATGACCATGGGCACTATGTTCTGTTTTTCTCAACCCAAGTGTATTTTAATTTCTATTCACCTGAACATGGTAACAACAGTTTTTCTTTAAGATTTAACTTTTCTTTGCTTCCTGCTAGTACTCCCTTAAATCCAAACACATGTGCAGGACAGAATGTTTTCTAACCACTTACTGCACTTTGAGAGTTTAATTGTCAGAACTTTACATGATTTATGGAGATAACTGAAACAAAGGCTGTAGGTGGTACAGAGGAAAAGACGAAAACGCTAGACTTCTAATAAGTAAATAAACCCAAAACAAAAATTGGGTCAAAAATTGTAGATCAAATTGCTATCATTTTATTTCACCAAATATTTTTTAAAACAAAATAAACTAAAGCGTCATCTTTCCAGTAATTTTCCTGTTTTGTTGACCTAGTAAGAGCTAAATTGCTGGATGTTTCTTGGCCTGAAGCTGAAAATATCTCGGATTTTTTTCATCAAGTTTGTATCAGTGGCACATTTTTGGTGACACTGGAAGTAATCTACAGAAAATAAATCTGCAATCTTCAAAAATAGAGTTGAAAACCAAACCCCAGGCAGTCTAAGTATTTTTTTTCCTAACCAGTCTTACAAAAGGGAATAGCCAGTGTAATTTAAAAAGTGAGAAAGGGATGAAACAATGACTAATACATAGATATATTTTATGGATGTGAGGAAATATGTCAATTCATCAGACTTCTCTTCTAAACTCCTGGGTGACTGATCTCCTAAGAAGTGTGTTTAAATATTGCTGGGTACCTATACCAAAATGATGCCAAAACAGATGTCCATGAATCTGAATGCCGTGGTCTTTTTATGGCACCGCCTCTTAAAATATTTATTGGTTTTATATGAAACTAATTTTACTTTCCTTAAACATTTAGCTTTAAAAGGAATTTTTTCATGCAAAAAATATTGTCATCATTTCGAAATATGAAGTACTCCGCTACTGAAATTTTCCTTGCCAAAAGATTAAGATCTGGAAGGGAAGTAACCCGAGGTCCACATTAGAATAATTGGAGAGTTAACTGCCCTACTAAGAAATACCCTAGGGCACCCACATAAAATACACAGTGGTTCAGTTAATCCCATGATATTTTGAAATAACCATGCCCTATAGGTCATAGAAACGACATAGGCAGGAAAGAAAATGGCAATGTAAGTTTACCCGAGACAGGAGGCCTGTCTTCAAAGATGAGAGGGCAAAGTGTTTAGCTACTTTTCTGTTCTCCTGAAACGATTAAGGTGGCTATAAGATTCAAGTAGCAATAATAAGAGATTTAGCAGATTAACAATATTTTTGTGGTTCTTTACTTTAGAACTACAAAGCAACCTATGCAGATATCCCATAATTCTTACTTTCGTTTCTATGAAGAATCAATATACTACCAAGAACCTAAGAAAGAAGCAAATGCTCATGGTCACCCGTTGGGCTTTTCCCCTGAGGGTCTCTGCCTTTTCTCCGGGTTACTTCCAGCAGTTTGAGGTGTAGGGGTCCACACACTCACCCTTGCCAGGCCTCTTTCTCTCCCTCTCTGATGCAGAAAGCAGAAGAGGAGTCACAGAAGTCCGTTCCAAAGCAGGAGTAATTCTGTGGTACGTCCTGCAAGAAGCCAAGCAGAGTCACCCTGGGGGAGGAGCCCCTCCAGGCGAGGAGTGCTCAGAGCGACTTGCCTATCTGGGGTGTTGGTCCTGTTTTACAGGGTGGAGGTCCTGTCTAGGGCTTCAGTCTTGTGGGTTAATAGGGAAATTTTGTTGTTATTGTTCCTGAAATAATATCCTGTTCATCATCCTTAAGCGACAGCTGTTTATTGTTTTCAGTCATCAAAATGCTTTGTATTTATTAACAGTCTTTCTTTTCGGCTACTTCTGTGTGAACTATTTTCAGTTGTTTTGCTCAAAATGAACACTCTCCTAAACCGGGAATGGTGGTTCACACACTCCATTTAAGCACAGTGGGACATTCAGGCAGAAGGATCATAAGTTTGAGCCCAACTTAGACACTTAGCAATTTTGCAAGACAAAGTAAAACATAAAAAAGGACTAGGGATATATCTACTGCAAAGATCTCAGACCCAATCTCAGGTACATCAAAGAAGCAAAACTGACCTGAACTGAACTGAACTGAACTAAAAACTAAACTAAACTAAACTAAACTAAACTAAACTAAACAAGTCTTTTGGGTGTAGGCATTTTCTAGTATAATAGCCTGCTCAGGCTGATTTCATAAATTAGTACAGGCTGGTTAATTTAACCAGCTAAAATTCATTTTCATTCCCTTGCAGTGGAGACTGAGAAGCCTAAAATCGAGGTGCCAGAATGGCTGAATTCTAGGGTACACTCACTTTCTGATGACCACTTGGTTGTCTCTCTGCTGTCTTGTCCATGGCAGGGAGAGAAACCAAGCCCTAGTGTCCGTCTTCTTCCACAGACACGAAGCCACCATGGGAACTCCATGACTGCAGCCTCGCTTAGGCCTAATGCCTTCCAAAGTCCTACTTCTAAATACCGTGGCACTGGGAATGTGAGTTTCAGTGCAGGAATTTTGAAGGCACAAACATGCAGACCTCAGCGGCTCTGTACTTAAGAGATCTAAGCAGTTAAACTTGCGTAATTCTGAAGCATCTATTTTTATTGCCTCAGGAGTTCTCCCACATTAGAAAATATTCACTCATTTTTCACAAGAATAAAAAAGAGAGAGAAAGATCTATGGTGGAAATTTTTTCTGTCTAAATTAATGCGAAATTTGTAGAGATGATTTGACATAAAAGCCCCTAATCCTAATGATTTTGGGAAAATTTTCAAATGCACTATTTTCAAATGTTGGTCAGAACAGTAACTATGGAGTACTGAAAATCCCCTGCCATAAATTCCTCACATTGGTATACTTTAATTTTAAAATATTCTAAGCAGGCAGAAGATATTAATTTCCTTTTATAAGTGAATAAATTAAACCTCAAGAGAGCACATTTTTAAAGCCACACAGATTTTGCTTAGCGAACTTACAGAACTGAAAAATCAAACTCGCATTCTTTCCTTTATTGACTTCTCTACCCCTCAATGTGGCGAGTATGTTCAGAGTTAAGGAAGAAACAAAATTTGTTTGACATTTTTTCTTGCCAGTGTACTTTTACATACAATGTAATGGTTTTTATTTTAAATATCTAACTCACCGTGTTTGAAAAATATTTCTTTGGACACTATATTCAGAGAGGTTTAAGCTATGGAAATCTTGCAGACCACACCCCAGTTCTGCATTTAGAATTTCAGGATTCTGTGCTGAAACTAACACAGACAACTTGCTCATTCCTCTCCCATTCTTGTTCTGTCTCGAAAGTCTATTATGCTGCAGATCATGATGCTTAAAGAAATGACCACCACAGACTATGTATTTTGTTAAAATAAGTCATAAACAAATTCAGGACAATAAAGTGAATGATTTTATGTATAAACACATTTAACAGACTAGAAAACTTTATGTTTTATGAAAACTTAGTAACCAATAGAAATACAAAACCATTTTTACTATTCATTCAGCAAACTTACTCTTTCTTCTTCTTTTTTTTTTTATTTAAAGAGAGAAGAAAAGAAAAAGAAAGTACATAAAAAAAAGCAATGCAGTAAAAGGGTACAAATAATACAGTATTTCTAGAAAAAAATACATACCGTACGAAATCACCAGTATTCTTTCTACAGCTTTTTTTTTCTACCCTCGACCAATGACAAAAATCGTAATACTTTTGTAGTCCATAAAATTGTATCCCACTGTTATTTTTAGACTCACTTCAAAAACAAATTTTAAAAGCTGTCCTAATTTCCTATAATATTCCTTTCTACTGAAATGTAAAGGCTGCTGTATCACATTCAAAGAAAACAAAGTACATCTGTAACATAAGTTTTTGGCCAGGCATAGATATTAAATAGTATTTGAATCAAAAACACCATATAAAGAGCGAGGGCAGGGAGAACACTTCTCATAAGTTTAGTTTGACTCTGCCACAATTCACCAAAAGTTTGAGTCATATTCATTACAGAAAGGAAGAAAATCCTAATAGTTAATAATTTTTGCTTATGATTATGATTTTTAAATAATATTACTGACGTGATTTGAGCCTCCCAACCATCTTCTTAAAGCAGTAGAAGGAAATGGATTTAGGAAGGTTACGTACCTGACTTCTTACAGCTTACAGGGAGAGAAGCCAATTCTGGATCCTTCCCGCCTCTTAGAACTCTGAGGCCAACATCTCACCCCACCATCCGCCGTGTGACTTGATAGATGGTCACACAGTTCAAACCTAACTAACTGCTTGCATCACTTTATATTTTTATGTCTGCTAACATTTAACATTTGGTAGATAGAATGTAGTCATCTGAAACAGCAATCTTCACTTGAGAATTTTCAGCAGCATTTTGATGAGGGTAGAGAAAAATAAGATATAACGATTGTCTGTACCAAAGTCCGTTGTTCGATATGATATCATTAGACGTGCGTTTATGAGACAGAAGGCCACACGTAGAACACATGCACACACAGGCCTTATGAGCAAGCAGTGAGTACAGGAGCATAAGAAATGACTTCCCCTTGTAAAGTTGGAGTTAACAGGACAGGAAAAAGTAATTAACCAGGCAAATAGAGCTAGGCCATGTTACTGATTAATTTAAAAAACAATTAACTTTCCACTTAAAATTCAAACTGAGATTCTGTCCGCCATAGGCAACCAGTGTTTACAAATTTTAATGGGGTTAGATATTAAGTGCCTTACTTAAAATCAACTTCAGAGGACATTGGGAAAGAATATAATTGGAACAAGCCGTGCGTGCAATTCTTGGCTTTAAGTTACTATAAAAGACAACATATTGTAATACAGGTGTATTAATCACCTTTCTGTTGCTGGGCCAAAAATACCTGACACAGACAACCTAAAGGAGGAGAGGGTTCCTTTGGCTCATGGTTTTAAAAATCTATGTGGTACACTGGTTCTAAAGGCAGAAACTTGGTAAAGGGAGTGGCAGAGCTGCTCACTCATGGCAGACAGGAAGTAGAGTGAGGGGGAAATATGCAGAGAGAAATGGAACAGGGACCAGATATGGTCGCCAACATCAGGCCTACACACCCCTTTCCCGCAACTAGGCCCCGCCCTTAAATTTCCATTGGTTTGAAATAATGTCATCAAATTAGGAACTCATGAATGGATCAATCCACTGATAACCCATGTTATCCGGTTGCCTTCTCAAAGTCCCGCCTGTGAATTTCTGAAACTTACCTTGGACATTTCAGATAAAGACCATTATAATATTATCAAACATTGGACTAAAACACTTTCAGTGAAAATAGGGAGAAAATAAGAAATCATTCATCAGTCTCATTCCAAATATTTATAGAGATTTTATACTGGAAAATTTTAAAGAAAATGTTTACTAAAATAGCTTCTGAACACTTTATTACCAGCAAATATACTGTCCATGGGGTCCTGTAATAAGTGTAGGACACAAGAAATGATGACATGATCCTTGCTTATAATTTAACAGAGCACTAAGGGGACAGTGAGGGGAAGAACTGCTGGGTCAATAAACTCTTTCCCATAAATCAATTGTTAAAAATAATAATGTCAGCTTGTGATCAGCACATTTATATGTTCTAATGTGATATATTATAGCTGATCGTGTAAGTACTTAGCCCCTTTGGGCTGGAAGAACACCAAGAGCTGCTGCTTTGCAGGACCTTTGGGTACAGACTTGTGTGTTTTCATGTTCTTCCAATGTTACCCAACCTCCACACTCCAGTCTTCTCAAGGATAGACCTTCCCCAGTGTTCGCCTGGCACCAGGACTATAAAAGTGTGGTCAGGAAAACGTCAAAGTGTTGGATTTGGCACTGATGTCATGTCAATAGTAGACCTTGCTATATTCAAGGTAAATCACTGCATCAACTAAGCCAAACCATTCTTTTCACCCTGAAAAAAGCACAACATTAATTGAAAATACAGGTAAAGGCAGCCTATTAAGCTGTAAGCATTCAGGAATGAGAAGTCAGTGGGCTGCCTGTGGTCTGCACTCAGCTTTGTGGTTCATTTGACTCTCTATCTCTTTTCTTATCTTCTCTCTTCTCTGGCCCAGATACCTTTTTTAGGATTCTGCTACTGGGACTTGTGTATGATGATCTGATTGGCTTCTGAAACTATCTTATTTCAGCTGGCCTTCTGGTCTCTCATATTGAGCAATAACACGTTATCTCATTCTTATGTTACCAAACTGTCTGGTCTTATCAGTCACCCCTTCAGGTCAAGAGCTTTGGAAAGGAAAAGATACAGGCATTGCTTTTGCATTTTCTCCTTTGCAGCACTGAGGATTAACCCAGGGCCTTGTGCATGCTAACTAAATGCTTTACTACCTGTCTATGTGCTCAACCTACAACCACTGTTTTTGCATATG